GTTGGCCTTAAATCACTATACCAAATACAATAATCCAACCAAAGGCATCAATTCCTGGCCCTCACTTTATAGTCTTCCTCATACAAATTCTACTGCTGGTATTTCAGTTTAATTCTAATAACTGAGTACGCACTGTAAGCACGTACTGTTAGATACTACAAAGATGGAAATGAGCTAAACTGTCCCTGCTCTCAAAACTACCATGTTACAACAAAAAGGATGAAGCAAAGCATCCAAATAAGAGGTGGTCTTCAGGACAGCCGACAGGGCTCCGTAATAGGAACTCATGTAAACCTTAAAGAATTAAGGGTCAAAGATGTCAGCAAGACTAAGATTTGAATCTTATCCTTTGCCTCTTGACTACAGGCTCTTCAGGCTGCAATATTCTACATCCTCCCATCTATATAGAACAGAGCCACAAACTGGGAGGAAAAAGCAGAGAAGAAATACAAATATGGTACTAAAAGCAATACCATGTATCCTTTTAATTAAAAGACCATATTTACTTTTAATTAAAAGGAAGACCATATTTCCTTTTAATTAAAAGGAAGAAGGAATTAGTATCAAGTTTAAAAAGACCTGGAAAGAATTTGTCACGGTATTTTGATGGGTTTTGAAAGGCTGTCTCCATCAACAAAAATTTGAAGCAATTATTTTGTATAAAAAGAAAAGTGGGGAAAATGTTATCTGCTAAGTAAAGATGTATGAAGAAAATATGAGCAGGTACATTTAGGTCATAAAATCCTTGGCTCTCTTTCTCTCAGAAGACTTGCTCTGAGGAAACTAGTTGCTAGGTCCTAAGAACACACAAGTAGCCTTACAGAGATATTGACTTGGTGAGTAAGGGAGGCCTCCTGCCAAAAGCTATATAAGTGAGATGGTTTCCAGCCCCAGTCAAGCCTTCAGATGACTGCAGTGCTGGCCAACACTTTCGCTACAATAGAAGACTGAGCCAGAAACACCCAGCTAAGTAGCTCCATTCTTGACTTTGATAAACCACAAGTGATAATATATGTTTGTTTCTTTAAGTTGCTAAATCTGGAGCATATTTGTTAGACAGCAATAAATAGCTAACACAATAGTCAAGGTGTGAAATCGCTAACTTTGTTTGGCATCAAAGTTTGTGCTAATTAAAAGTTTCAGGGCAATATGCACCATATCCAATGGAGTCCTTCCTGAACATGGTAAATACCTAAGCTTGGTAACAAACTAGCATACACACAAGATTTCCTAACTGACCCAATGAAATAGCTCAAAGTTTCTTGAAAGTAAAATGGTTCCCTTGAATCTGTCCATATAAGTTCAATCCTGAAAAGCTGTAGTTTTATTGTTGTTTACTTTTTAGCACAGAGTCATACCTTCCTTAACTGAGAATTACAATACATAATCAATGAAAACTGAGACTTGTTAGCAGCTCTTCTCTAAATTTAGTCAAAACTAAAAGGTAGCTTAAAAGTTCCGGACAGACTATGAGCAGCTGCGTCAGAGTTGAAAGTGAGCAAAATACTTTTATCAGTATTTGACTGCCTCAACCATACAGAGCCTTAATAGATCTTGATGATAACCTCAGCATGAAGCCTTCTAATATTAATCCAACTTAAAAGTTTAGCCTCCATACTAGAAAAAAATCTTCCCTATTATAATACTGGGAAGGTGGGCAACATAACCCTGTTTTCCCAGTGTCAAAACGATCTTAATTATACCTCAAAATTTGCAACCCATAAGGCTGGGAATCCAAATGTTAATTCCCAAAACAGTAAGGGCCTGTAGTCTATGCTGATCATTAAGCTTCACACTAAATGCCCTTCCCTATCACTCTATCCTTACAAATGCACCCATCCCTTGACACCTGAATTTACCTAGAAAGGCTGATAAAAGTGGCTTTTTCAAAGTAAGTCATACCTTATATTCTAGCTGGGGAGGAAAAACCATAATACAAAAGAGAGACAAATAACCACAAAATACAGGCCGTTATTATCAATTCACTTATACAGACAAGCAACTAAAAATATTTTCATGTATAATCTGATTCAATAGCTAAAACTAACTTTTACACTAAAAAAAGTTTCACAGGCATTTTAAGTTCTAAAATTCTACTTAAAAGTCAACTTAGGCTCTGAAATTAACTTAAAAGGTGGTAACTTTTTAAAAAGTACTTAAGCTTAGATTCAAAGTAAAATAAAAGCTAGTTTTTAGTGGCCTCACACGGCTAAATATTCTCCCCAAAGAAAATTCCGTTATCTTTATAACCGAATTAAGAGTAAACTATATATCAACTTTAAGGTTTCCTAATCTTACCAAAATAAACATCAGGACACTTAACGCTGGTTTTCAATAACTTTCTCCTGGGGAAAACAATGTCTTTGGTACCGTGTGACTGAATCACTTTATAATCATTTTCACAACACTTCAAATATGTGTTGTAAACTGACTCCTTGGATCACAAGCTTTATATCCAGATCTTTCTAGTTAGTTCTTTCTTCAAAAGAAGCACTTAGTTAAAAATATTTAAGATATTTCAACAAGTTCTAAAGAATGTTACATAAACTCAAAAGTATAATCTTATTTCAAAGTGAAAGCTCAACAAGACATTCTAACAAAAATGAGTAAATTCTAATAATAATAAAATCTTTGCAACAGGAATACCTCATGTTTTTAAAAAGCACTTTAAAACCACGATATCCTTCCATCAGTTACAAATATAAAGACTTCCTACCATGAAATCAATCTATAAAATCCAGAGATTGATGTAATCTGCATGGCAGTTTATAAGAATTATAAATCCTTTGCAAACTTAAAATAACTCTCAAAAAAAAAAGAAACTGAAAGGCAAAGGAGGGGGCATTTCACAGTTAACATTATCAAGATCACAACCAGTTTCACTAATAATATAAGGTTTTTTCACACAAGTGATAAATTCACTACCCTGTAATGGTAAAAAGATTACAGCATCTTGTAGTCTCTAATATTTAAGCATCCAGAAAAGCAAGTATGCCTTTTTATCAAATTTTAACCTTATTTGGACTTGTGGCACCAGTATCTTACTCCTTACTCTGAAATGAGGTAAGAATTAAACGTTCAAGTTTGTATCTAATAAAAATTACGTCAAAACTCCACTTGCTGAAGTATTACTGGACCAACTATTCATAGTCTCCTAAAATGACATAGTAGATAGACATTACATTTAAAAAACGAAAAAACCAAAAACCTGGCACGTACTGCTCGTAGCTTATTTAAAGAGAATAATTCTAACTCTGGTGAAGTGGAACTAGCAGGGGACTTGAGAACCTTTGTTCAGATCCAGCTCCACCACTTCCATTTCATAGTTACTGTTTTGAGTAAGACACTTAACTTGCTTCTTCTCTGTTAAGTGTTACCAGAGTTGTGAAAATGAAATGATTGGCACATTTAAATCCTGCAGTGCTACTAGGCAAGTATGTGTGTTGACGTGTATATGCTAGGTAAACGGAACAACTGTGGAAGACGCTGAATTGTATGAACTAATGTCAACTTTTAAATATCTACTGGTACCAATGAAGGCGTATACAGTAAAACGACAAATAACACATGCTTCATTAGGCAGTTCACATCAATTTTTAATTTTCTTAAAGACATTCTCCTTCCTATCCTGCCTATATAGTTCAGGACAATTTTTTTCAAGGTTTGCAGTCTATTTTACATCATTCAAGGTTATTTCCTTAGATATTAAAATAAATGTCAAATAGAATTTGATGCTGTATTTTCAAAATATTTAGGGCTGTGAATTCCTCATAATACTAAATATAAGCCAATGTGTTCATTTTTATCAGTTAACAATCGAATTCCTAGAACTTCAGAATACTTAAACTTTCAAATCCAAGCCAATATCGATTGTTAATTCTACTGCTCATCCAAACATTAGCAGACGGTCAAAATAATTGCTATTACACTTTAGATGCAATACAATACGCATGACGTGGTTCTGTTCTATCAAAATAAAATACATTAACAACCAATCAGTTAAAATATGAAATCTTCCGGAGATGAAAAGTAATGACAATAACATCTGAAACATAACAATGAGTATCTTAAAGCCCCAGAAAATGAAAAGCATTATTGTCAGTCTCCACATTCTTTCTAAAAAGCTTTAGAAAACTACTACTAATCCCTTCAGAAATCTCGCCAAAACATGACTTTAAATATTATCATCTAAAATCACGACTCACGTTGAACCATTAGTGTACAGATTTTAAAACGCATACTAACATGTTGTACCTTAAGACTGCATTTGGTTACCATTCCAACTCTCTTCGGCTCGGTAAAGTTACCTTAAACGACACCAACTCATTATTCTCTTACACAACGATCTGTACAGTTTGAGAACTTTCTCCCCAGTTTGACCACCAACCAAATAAAGAGAAGTTATTAAAATCATTTTGGAGACCAGGTTAATGACCACACATGAGGAATTCTGGCGGCGCTAGTCAAATAGCAAAGAACAGTCTTTTTTCTTTTTGAAGTGAAAGAAAGTGATGGTTGGGGTCCCCCTCCCTGAACAAGGAAGTTCTCTTACATCCAGGCGAGACCAGCCATGTTGGAAAACACTTGTCAGTTACAGTTGTGACAAGTCTCAGCCAACACCGCCCAGGGAAGCTACCCTTGCGTACCGAGGTGTGTACATCAAGGCCCTCTTCGGCTCCGCCGGAGGTTCTGGCCTACTTTGGGGATGGTTTCCGAGTTGGAGCCGTCCTTCGGTCCGAACGGAGTGCAGAGCCGAGGGGGAAAGAGGGCGGGGAAAGGAGAGTTGGGGGGAAAAGGATTTTCAAGAGTTGGAAGCCGCTATCCGCAGCGAGAGGGGCGCGGCGGCCGGGAGAGGTTTCCGAGTTGAGAGCCGGGGGGTGGGGGGGAGGGGCCGAGGATTCGGGGAACAGGGGGGGACTCTCGGCAGAAAAGTCCCCCTCGGAGGGGCCCAGGAGAGCCAGAGGAGGAAGGGAAGCGGGGGAACGCTTCGGGGCACTGACCTGTCCTCCGAGTCCATGCGGCTCAGGGGTTCCCCATCCGACGACATCTCCAAGCTGCCTCGCCGGCCCCCGGAGGTCGCGCTGCTTCCGCCTCCCCCGGTCCCATAGCCCTCGTCGCCGCCGCTGGAGACGACGCTGCTGCTGCTGCTGCCGCCCCCGCCGCCGCCCTGGCTGCCCCGCGGTCCCTTGGGCTCCTCCAGGCCCTCCTTGCCGTCCCCATCCCCGCTGCTGCTGCTGGCGGCGCCGGGGCTCAGCGAGCGCGTCTCGTCGCTGCTGCTCCCGCCGCTGCTGCTGCCCACCAGGCTCTCGGCGCTGCTCTCCTCCTCGCCCCCGCCGCTGCTGCTCTCGTCCTCCTCCTCGTCGTCGTCCTCCTCCTCCTCGTCCTCATCTTCCCCGGCCTGGCTGGCGCTCTCTGGGCTCGGCTCCGACATCGTCTCCGCCTCGCCGCCCCCCACTCCGCCGCCGCCCCCACCGCCGTTCAGCAGCAGCGCCGCCACCGCCTCGGCCTCCGCCTCCTCCTCCTCTTCGTCCTCCTCCTCCTCCTCAGGGGGCTCAGCCCGGCCCCGCGCCACCGACCCGGGGCTGCCGGGGGGCAGAGGGCTCAGGCGGGAGAGCTCCTCCAGGTCGGCCATGTCGGTGAGAGCGGCGGCCATGGCGGCGCCTGCTCCTCCTCCTCCTCCGGCTCCTCCGCCTCCCCGCCGCCGCCGCCGCCGCCTCCCTCTCTCGACTCTCGCTCCTTCGCCCCCCTCCCAAACGCCCCAAACTCGGCCGACGCCGCGGCAGAGCGGGAGGAGGGCCCGCGAGCTGCGTCAGCCTGCACACGCGCTACGGAACCCGCGCGGGGACAGGCGCGCCACTGCGCGCACTCACGCGGAGACGGCTGCGCGCCTGCGCGGCGGCACGCGGTGGCACCTCCCCTCGGCCGCGGGCTCCGCGCCCGCGCCCCCGGCCGCGCCCCCTCTGGGCCCCCGCCCCGACCCGCCGGGACTCAGAGTTTCCGCGGGGCCTGCCCACGCCTTCCCCGGCCGCGCGGCGGGCGGGACACGCGGAACGAAAAGCTGAGCGCCGGACGGCGATTCTAACAGCCCCCGCCCCGAGGGCTCACGGTCGAGTCATTCATTCCGGGGGTGTTTGGGGAGCGTTCCCGGCGCACGGGCGCTGAGCCAAGAATCGAACAAGTCCCTGGGCTCTTGAGAGCTGACAGTCTAAGAGGGGAGGCGAGGAAAAAAGAGTAAAAATAAATAATACAGTGCTAGGTACTGAATCCATACGCGCGACGCAGAGCCACAGGTTTTTATCTAACCTACGTTCGAATACCCCGAAGACTGGTGAAATCACAGTCTGAGAGCCAACATCTGTGTGCAAGATCTTCAAACTTTTTAGCTCTTGAGCTCTCTGAAACGATTTTGTGCATCTTCGTATATCCACATGTTTAAAGTGACATCCACATTTTTTCCCAGCCTCATATTTTATGGCTGTCACACTTTTTTAAATATAGTCAACAAATGAATCCTAAATTCCATACGGATTTAATACCCACCAATATCTTAAAATACAGTCTCGTTTATACTTACGCAGTTTCCATCCTTTATCCTCTGAAGCTCATTTACATTTTACATTTGCTCCAGAATTTTATCCTCATATTTTATATTTGAACTGTTTTATTGATCATCATATATTTCCCGTATACATCTTATATACACAAAAAATGTGTATCGAAATTGAAATTCAAGGATTGTTTCTAAATCTCCTGAGAGATTTCCCCACGGGGAAGGCGTAGGCAGGCTCCACGGAAACACTCTTAAGACTTATTTCAACTGATCAAAACAAATATATTTCAAATATTTACAAATAGATATTAAACCCAGAAGTTGGAATTTTGTTGGCAATGCATCTTACAGAGATGGAATTGAATACTTTTTTAAAAGCTAGATTATTTATCAGTGGACGAGTATTTCTACAATGAAAATGAGATGCTTCCATTCAGTTACAAGCTTTTAATTCCTTGGATGTAAGCGCTGAAAAAACTTGTTCACATAAATAAGTACATGAGAATGAATGGAGTTTTGTCAGAGCAATGCAATTCGATTCTTTGAACTCTTTCCAAATTATATGTCCCCTGAAAAATCACATAAAGATCTAACAAGGAAAAAATACTTTTAATGATCTATCCGTTGACAACTCTGACTAGGTTCTTTCAACCTTGTTGAAAGCAAGTAACTGAATACCACCTGACTTGTAAAAAAGATGTGTTACTCATTCTCATTCACCACTCAGTTGTTCCTTTTTCTGGTGTCCTGGAGGATTTTGCACACCCTGCTAGGTAGGTTAGGAAGATGGGTGAGGCAGAGTTATGCCTTTCTTTTGTAAAGTAGGGAAGGGTCACTTAGGATAAGGGATGCTGGAAAGGAGTCCACCTTACACCTGATCCCAAGGCACATTTTCAGGCAGATCAATTCTAGGTGTAAGAGAAGGGAGAATCAGGGAACTGATTGTCTTAAAACAGGCTCTGCGCTCAAACACATCTTAGAAAGTCTTCATACATCATGAATAGCCCAGCATTATGTCTACAGTCTTAGGCCTTTGGATAGCTTTATATGTTCCATATGTTGCCTCAAAAGAAAGCAAAAATAAAGATAATAAATAATAGCATGGGACATTATGGCTCACAGATACCTCCAAAACACTCATACAAGGCTAACCACAAACATTTCAACTTCAAAGCCAGTCTTTGAGGTTGACTGGCAAAGTATTTTCATCCTCCTGTGTTGTCAATAAAAGACTCTCACAGTTTAACTGAAAAGCGTGTATTAAGTGTATGTGCCAAGCACTGTATTAAGCCCTAGAGATTTTGGCTCAGTTTGGCCAACTTATTGAAGGAAAACATCATGAAGAACATAGGATCTGAACAGTTGTGTACATAACATACACTACATTTACGATGGAGCCGTATCTTGAAGGTTGAATAGACTAGAAATCTGTGTGAGGGGGAATTCTGGGACTGAGACATTGGAAAAGCATAAAAATGTAATTTGTGACTGTTAACCATGAGAAAATGAAGCTACAAAAGTGAAAAAGACTTCAAGACGAGATCACAGAAAACCTTGAATAAAAAGGTTGACTTTGAAAGATGAAAGTGTGTGTGTATATATATGTGTGTGTCTACTTAGAAAAAATTTTAAAGGTGTGATATGATTAAAGTTATGTTGTAAGGTTATCTAATGTTACAGGTGATATGGAGAAAAATGTGAAAGGAAGGAGAGGTGCTTGGCAATTAGACATGTGGAAATGGCAGGTATCAAATCCACAAGTAAATGCTCTGAATGCAGTATTTATACTTGAAGACAAAAACAAGCTATCTTAGAACTGGCTTTCTGGAAAAAAGAAAACAAGTCTGTTTCCCATCACTGGAGTGTTTTTTTTTTAAATTGCAAATTTTTTGAAAAATTGAAAGAATTGGATAATAATAAACACTTGTACACCTGCTTGCCTCTGTGTGTGTGTGTGTGTGTGTGTGTGTGCATGCGTGCGTGTGTTACTTGCTCAGTTGTGTCCAGCTCTTAGCCCACCAGGCTTCTCTGTCCATGGGATTCTCCAGGCAAGAATACTGGAGTGGGTAGCCATTCCCTTCTTTAGGGGTCTTCCTGACCCAGGGATCAAACCTTGGTCTCCTGCATTGCAGGCAGATTCTTTACCATCTGAGCCAGCAGACAGGCCCATGAACCTGCCAACATTCATCAATCAATAATATTTTGCCACATTTGTGCAGTCTGTGTCCCTCTGTCTCTGTTTCTTTCTCTCTTTTGGTTTAACTGCAGATTAATTACTCTGCAAGCATTTCCTTAGAACGGGGTCACAATGTCACTGAGACATTCATGAAGTGTTTGGCCAGAGGCAGTCCTCTGGGTAATAGAATTTTTTCAGTTGGCTTCAGGTGAGAGGCTGGAGGAAATGAAAGCACCATGGTCTGTAGACCAGTGCCCGTCCACTCCCTGGTCCTTACCAGCCTGCAGCTAGCTACAGGAAATTAGCTTCAGGAAACTTTTTCTGAATATTTATTTGTGTTTATTTATTTATTTGGCTGCATCGGGTCTTAGCTGGGACACATGGGCTCTTTAGTTGTAGCATATGGGATCTAGTTCCCTCACCAGGGATTGAACATCAGGAGTGCGGAGTCTTAGCCATTGAACCACCAGGGAAGTCCCAGGGAACTTCTGTAACAACTTGGCAGAGTAACTTTATATCTGCCAAACCTAATCATCAAAAACAGGCTTTTACTTTTTATTAGGTCATCAGTTTATTTTTATCTTCTTAATCTGGTAATTTTTCAAAAGCATCAGTCCCCTGGAAAGTAAAACACTGTCCTTCATAGACTGAGACTCACTGCTGTGTATTTCCCACCTTCCTGCCTGGAGACTGTGATTCTACCTGTAATTATGTTACCCAATAACACACCATTGCATAAGAGCTATTTGATTAGGAATAGTATTCAAACTCATCAACCACAGTACTAATGGGGTCAAATTAACAACGATAACTTGAATTTCACTGGCACTCCCACCTACCAAGCGTACTAACATAGGCAGCTCACCCCCAGTTTTCTGGGAGCCCCTGGGGTGGGGGAATCTCTCATCTGCTCACACCCTGCTTGCCCAACGGCTCCCTCCCTGGTTCTGCTCCTTCAGGAACTGCAGATTCCTATTGAAACAAGAGGGAACAGAGCAAGGCACAACTTTTGAAAGAATGACATAGCCCGAGGGCACAACATAAACTGATTAGAACCAAATGGGTTCAAGATGGCAGACAAGTCAACTTGGACTAGACCTTGATCTTCAATCAGCAAGCTAAATGACATACCAAGAGGTGCCAGGGCAGCTCCAAGGCACTGTCAAAAAACCAAAAAGTGGGCGGTGGCCCAATTCCTGGAAATCTCCACCCCTTCCCCCAAATAGTTCAAATAATCCTCCTACTCATTAGCCTATGAAATTCACCCAGCCCGCAAAAACTAACCACTTCCCCACACCGCACTCACCCTCTGAGATGGCCCATACTCTATCTGCAGAGTATGTTTCTCTCTGAATAAATCCAGTTCTTACCCAACACTTTGTCTCTCGCTGAATTCTTTCTGCGATGAGACATCAAGAACCTTAGCTTCATTAGGTCCTAAAACCCGATCTATGATCTCAGTTGGAAGACCATGAGTCTTGGCTGGGTTTGAGTCCCAGCCACATGGGTTCAAGTCACAGGCAGGGTTTTGACTGGGTTTGAGTCCTGGCCACGTGGATTCGAGTCTCCACCTAAGCTTTTGGCAGAGTTTGAGTCCCAGCACATGGGTTCAAGTCCCAATCTAAGGTAAACGGTTTTATTACCTGGACCTGTAATACAAGCAAAACAGCCAAAGCCATGGTGTAGCCTGAAGAAATGGAGATCACTGTGTTGACCTCTTTTAGGGGAACTCTGGAGCAGACTGCTTGGCCCACATGGTTTTCAATGAAACAGTTCTTTATGTTTTTACTCAGAGATCTGTCTCTCTTAGGAACCCAGACATGCTTTCGTGAACCTAGGTTGGCGACAGAGTTGAGTAACAGCTACTCCAAGCTGTATTTATTACTCCCCATTCAATGACTAAGTCTTTCTTCTAGGGCTCCTCTAT